CAAGCCTCAAGTGCAGTCTGAGTTGAATTATCCGGAGCACTGTCTCCCTCCTTCATTGTTGCCGAAGATATGGGCAAGAACAGAGTGGATTCTCTCCAGGGCATTATATCAGTTCCCCCTTTCCCCTTGGCATCAAAGTGCTTCCACTCACAGCCCCCCTGACTTCCTAAGGCTTGCCCCAACTGCACACCCACCCCCCAGCCTGGAAGCAGGACATCAAAGAGCGCCTGCAGGTAACCAGATTATTGACCAACGCATGTTGTCTGTTTTGTAATTTAGAGGACGGGAAATGGATTCCAGAAATGGGACATTTTTTTCCTAGTACACGGTCTCCATGATCTTCGAGTCTTATTAATCCTTAATAATCTCTTAAGTAAAGAGAGCCATCTTTTAAGCAAAATTTAAAAAAATTAGAAAAATATTTGAAATTCAGAATGAAACTGCCCTAAATAGTTACTTTCCAGTAATCAGTCACACTCTGAGAAATGCCAAGGAGCCACAATAAGTTTGTCTTTATGGATGGCAGAATTCAGGACCTTGTTAGCTGTAAAGAGAATTTTCCTTGTCATCAAAAGATCACTTCTGTCATAAGATTATTAAATCTTAAACATTAAGATTTAATTAGACATAAGGTAACAACACATTGAGTCAGTGCCCTAGAAGTAAAATGAGGCAAATGGTTAGTGCCATTTCCAACCATTATTTGTCAGGACTTCAAAAAAAAACATTTAGATGGACATAGTATCTCATGCCTACAATCCTAGCACTTGCAAGGCTGAAGCAAGAGGTTTGCTTTGAATTTGAACTGCTACAGAGTGAGACCCTATCTCTTAAGAAAACAAAGAACCAGGTGATGGTGGCACCCGCCTTCAATCCCAGCACTTTCGAGCAAGAGGCATGAGGATCTCTGAGTTCAAGGCCAGCCTGGACTACAGAGGGAGTTTCAGGACAGCCAGGGCTACATAGAAAAACCCTGTCTCAATGGAAGGAAAGAAGGAAGAAGGGAGGGATAGAGGGAGGGAAGAAGGAAGGAAGGAAGGAAGGAAGGAAGGAAGGAAGGAAGGAAGGAAGGAAGGAAAAGAATGACACTTTTGTAATAGAAACTATCAAACCCCTCTAGAGAAGCAGAGAGGAGGGACCCCATAAGGAAGCAGCATGACCCACAGCCACTGTCAAGAATTCGTCACCACCAGGCTGCCCCCCCCATACCTCACTGGTCTCGTCTTCGCCTCCCAGTGTATCATGTCATCTATAAAAAAATACTTCTGGACGGGCCTAAGAAGATAAAGGGCACTTATGAAATCAGAAGCACAGAGCCCAGTGCTTCAGTCCAACCCCCCCAGTAGCTCCTCTGCACACCCTATCAGTGATCACCAGCTGGAAAATGCTGTATACAGTGTGAAGCAAAGTCTGGGAATGGGCCTCAAGATTTCGAGTAGTCGGTGGGTCTCCCCAGCCCCCTCTTTAAAGCAGGTAGTTGTACTGGAACGACCGCATAATACCTGTTGTCTGGCTTTGACTGTCCTTGGTAAGAGGCTTGGATCCAAAGTTTAGATTTGGGTTGTTTTGTTTGTTTGTTTGTTTTTCTGGATTTTGGAGTGGTTTACTTCCAGTGAGGCAGGTTGGTAATAAGACCCAAGACTAAACATGAAATCTGTTTGTATTTCATGCATACACTATACTACACATGTTGCCTGAAAGGAAATTTGACAGATATTTTTCAGGTATTGTTGACGAAACAAATTTCAATGATGTGGCATTTTCGGGGGGAGGGAGGAGTACTTTGTAGACAAACTCAGCAAGTTTCAGATTCTGGGGGTTTAGATGAAGAACTCTTGTGCTTACTCTGATCTTCCTCCCACCGCCCCCACACTGCCTTCAGGAGTCATACCCACACACACCACTGATTTTTGAGACAAGGTCAACCTTAAGTTCACTGTATAGTCCAAGCTGGCCTTAAACTCCTGGCAGTCTGCCTGCCTCAGCCTCCCAAGAGCTAAAATTATGGGCATACACCTTCACACCCAGCACAGACTGTCTTTTCTTAGGACTTCCAGGGGTTTGCTGTCAAGTTCCTGAGTATGACTTCTGTTGTCTATAACCAGCTTGCGTTTGCTGAGCTTCTGGAATTTTCTAGTTTGTTGTTGATATTATGACTTCTGTCACTTAAATTTGGCCATTATCTTTTCCCCTTTCTCTCCTACTCATTCTTTCTACTCTCTAGGTGTATTTTACTAGTTGACGTTGTGATTTGTGTTTAATTTTATTAAGTTTCTAATGTTTTTCGTTTCACCTCTGGTATGCTATTAAGTCTGTCCAATCTACTCTTAGATCTCATATAGTGTACTTTTTGACTCTAGAATCTTCCTTTTTGTTTCTGCTTTCTGTTTTGACAGTTCCTGTGTGTCCTTACTCATTGTGACTATGATGTCCCTGTATTAAAGTCTCTTTAGCTAATCCCATCAGAGTCACAGAATCTGTTTCTGTTGGCGACTTTTTAATAATAGATCCCATCTTCTATGTCTAGAAAACTTGTGTTGGTACTGTTGATAGCACATTGTAGAGACTTTGGGTTTCGTTATATTCCTCTGAAGAGTATGGACTCTTATTCTTGCAGGCAGTTATTAGCGACTCACTTCTAGTGCGTGGAGGCTAATTTACATTTCATTGTGGCAAATCTGTCTCAGATTTGCCTTTAGCCCTCAGCAAGGTCCCTTTGCACTGTAACACGGGATTTACTGCACTAACACATGGCCATGCTGGGGTAATGGACAGCCTGGGGTGTTGACAGAACCTTTTAACTTAATGAGACTCCAACTCTGACCTGCTTCTCCACTCCAGTGGCCAGGAACTGAGACTTCTCATGATATTCATCTACATACACAACACTGCTGTTGACTCTCCCCTGTGTGTGTATCGTTCTGGAGTCAGACAAGAATCTGAGCTGACATTAGCGTGCTGGATTAGTAGTTCTTCTCTCTGGTACTCTGCCCTTGATGAGGCTTCACTTGTATCCTGACAGCTCATATGACTTTCTGTTCATCCTGAGACTTCCTTGTGCTGCACTGATGAGGTTACTCTTGAGGGAAAGCTGTATAAACAATGTCTTGCTCTATAAAGGTCCCATCTTTTAAGAATAAAGCCCCTCGTGGTTTTTTTTTTTTTTTTTTAACTGTATTGTATCCAGTTTCTATAAAGCCTGATTATAGGAGATTTGGTCTGAGTGAGCCACTGCCATTCTTGGTGTTAGTGGAGCTCCTCTTTCTCTTGCCAGATGAATGGTGGCAGAGTTTAAATCCTTTACTGCCCCTTTCATATCTGACCAGATTGGCTGCATACCAACGCTCAACAAAATATTGAGCTGTCTCTGATTCCTTTTTCCAGTTGATTAGTACTCTATGATATAGTGATCTAGATTATTAAACAAGTATCCTATGACATTTGTCCCATTTAATAAGTTTTTTTAATTCATGGCATCAGATCATACGGTAGTCATGAAACAGATACTTTCCCTTCCTGTGAGTTTTGTATGTCATATTCAGTATTTCTTTTTTGAAAGATTTTAATGTATTTATATTATGTATGAGTGTTCTGCATGTATACCTGCATGCCAGAAGAAGGCATCACATCTTAATTACAGATGGTTGTGAGCCACCATGTGGATGCTGGGAATTGAACTCAGGACCTCTGGAAGAGCAGCCAGTGCATTTAACTGCTGAGTCATCTCTCCAGACCCACATTCAATATTTCTTTTGTCCACTCCCTCATGTGATTAGGGAGATGTAGTAGAATTTTTAAAAGAAAGAGAAAAAAAAAAAAAACTCCATTTTCATGCTAACTCAGTATAAGCCGTGAGGGAACTCTACCTCTTTCTCTGACTGCTGACCCTGGTAGAAGCCCATTTCCCGGTATCTTCAGGTTCTTCATATAGACAAAGGTGCTATCTTTGACATTGATTTGACACTTAGGACTCTGGGTAACTCTGTGACCAGAGTAGGGATCAGCAAAAGTGCTCGTTCTTCTACTGAGACTGCCCCAGGAACACATGTGCCCAGAGCACCCCTTGTGGATAGGCGTGAGCTCATACGTTATTATGGGCAGACACCTGGTCTAAGCTTTAGAAGAGAACCCAGATCACCTGTGAGCGGGTCTCTCCTTGGCCCAGCCCCACGACTACGTTAGTTCTAGAGCTGTGTACACTTCCAGTGTTGCCCTCAGCAGCGTGTGAATTCAGGTTCAGTGGAGAGCATGTGTATCCATCCTTCCTGCTTGCCTCTGCTAACTCTGAGCCCATGTAAGATCCGCACACTCAGGGACATGCTCCTAAAAGCTTTCCCAAGTACACAGCACCATCACACAATCAACAGTAGTTGTCGCTGTTGAGAGCAGGTTTCTGTATGATTTTGTGCCCTGGATCTATGTGACACAAAGTGCTGTCATAGGTACGGATTTTAGAACCTTATTCTAACCCTTTACCCATTGGCCACATGGTGTGGGGTAGGTTGCCTGTGACTCAGTTTTATCATCTGTGAAATAGGAATAATAGGTATCTCCCTCCAAGTTTTAAATAATAACACCCAGTACCTAGAATAGTCATCAGTAATTGCCGTTATTATCACCAGTAACAACAACCTCTGGAGATGGAGAAAATGAAAATGTAAGCGCACCAGAGCGTCTGGAAAAGGAACCGTAAAAACCCTCCACCTTTGTAAGAACCCTCCACCTCTGAACCCTGCACTGACAAGTCTGGCGAGGATGAGACAAAGAAAGGAATGGCTCCCCGTGTTTACCAGGCACTAACAGACATTGGATGGAATGTTGATGGGCATTCCTTGCTTGTCTGGGGTAGGAAAGTGATGTCAAGTATGTTTTGTGTGAGCAAACAGAAAGAAAGACAGGGAATCTGGGTTGGAGGGGCTCCATGCACCAGTAGAGCAATTGTGAGGTCACAGGGCCGCAGGTTTACCGGGATCTGTGATTGTCTCTCCTTTTGCCCACAGATAACTGTGTCCAGAGGACGTCCAGGCCACCTGCAGAGAGTGTGCACCACAACCCTCCCACCATTGAACTCTTACACCGCCCCAGGTCACCCATCACCACAAACCACAGGCCTTCTCCTGACCCCGAGCAGCGGCCCCTGCGGTCCCCTCTGGACAACATGATCCGCCGTCTCTCTCCTGCGGAGAGGGCCCAGGGGCCAAGGCTCCAGCAGGAAAACAACCACCAGGAATCCTACCCCCTGTCAGTGTCTCCTATGGAGAATAATCACTGCCCACCATCCTCGGAGTCCAACCCGAAGCCCTCCAGCCCCTGGCAGGAGAGCACACGAGTGATCCAGCTGATGCCCAGCCCCATCATGCACCCTTTGATCCTGAACCCCCGGCACTCGGTGGATTTCAAACAGTCCCGGCTCTCCGAAGACGGGATGCACAGGGAAGGGAAGCCCATCAACCTGTCTCATCGGGAGGACCTGGCTTACATGAACCACATCATGGTGTCCGTGTCCCCGCCTGAAGAGCACGCCATGCCCATTGGGAGAATAGCAGGTGAGTGAGCTCAGCCCTCTCACCAGGCAGCGAGGCTCGCACCACTCCCCGTGTAATGCTGAATGCGGTATAATGCTGAATGCGCCGGCAGAGGTCTGGGGAGGACAAGCGGTGCTTCTGCCTGCCTGAGACAGAGTCCCTAATGGCCTGGTTAATGAGCCACTGGGAAGGGAGGAGTTAATGAGCCTCAGAAATGGTAAGGAAGGAATGTCCTCCATCCAGCTCACAAGGAGAGTCACCTCAGAATCACGGCCAAGTGAAAACATTTAAAATCAAAGGTTTACGAGTGCTCTAATGGCCCCAGCCTGGAGTTTCCAGGTGCTAATGAATGGCCAGACACAGCGCAAAGAACCTTTGTCTGGGATCAGTGCCTCTAATTCTGTCCTAAGGACAGTGACTCAATGCTGCTTTCCCCTTGGGAAAGGAGGTGGACTTGGGACCGGGCGGGGTATTAGTAGGCAGATGTTGCTAGTCATTTAGACCGAGAAAACCCACTCCCAGATTCTTTCAGTTATGTTGGCAAGCGCAAATGGCTCTCCCAGCAAGAAACCATGGAGGATAGGTAAGAATCCACCAATTAGAATTCTGCTAGCCTGCCCACAGTTTGCATGGGATTCTCCAGAAGGCCTGTGCGAGTTTGGAAAGGTGAAGTCTTTTTGTAGAGGGAGTCTCTCCCTTCATGAGACATCAGGGAGACCTGCGATGTATGCTGTACATCGTGGAGTTAACACAGGCATCGTCTCCCTTGTAGACGGGAGAAGGGCATGTGAATACCACTGAGGTACCGGGCAGAACGCTCCGAGTTTTACTTCACATTCATGCCGTGTGCAGGCGTCCATTGAGGGCCTTGTGTACAGCAGAGTAATGAGGTGCTGAGGGAGCAAAGCAGAAGCTCTGTTTGGACTGGAGGAGCCAGGAGGCTTCACAAGGGGTGGAGGGAACAGTAAGTGGCTGTTTCCCCGGAGTTAGGACAGAGACCTGTTCAGGGGACAGGAATAGATGTTGGTGTGGCCGCTGCCCACCCATAGGTGGCAGTTCCCGGCAAAAGGCCTGCTTCACCTCTGCCTTGACTTTTTGTCTCTTTGGGTTTTTTGTTTAAATCTTTGGCTTCCAGATTTTTTTTTCTTGGCCCCTGAGTACACCTCCACTGTTGCCTCAGTTTTATTGGCTGTGAATAATTTACATCAAAGATGTTGAATTAAGAAAATAAAATGGAGAGGCCGGGGAGATAGCTTGGTCAGTAGAACGCTGTGTAGGCTGCAGTCCCCAGGGGTGTGGCATGCACTTGCAATCCCAGTGCCAGGGGGATAGAGACATGCATTTTCTTGGGACTTGCTGGCCAGCAAGCCTAGTCTAGTCTACTTGGCCAGCTCCAGACCAGTGAGAGACTGACCCTTTCTCAAAAGACAAGGTAGACAGCACCTGAGGAGCGACACCCAAGATTGTTGTTCTTTGGTCCACAAATATACACATGCACGCACGTGCGCGCACACACCCACACCCACACACACACACACACACACACACAGACACACACACACACACACACACACACACACACACACACAGAGAGAACAAAAGAAAATGGGTACTAAAAGCATGGCTCAGTGGCAGAATGCTTGTCCGTCATTCAAAAAACGCCAAGGTTTGATTTTCAGAACCACAAAAGCAACAGTAAAATGACAACTATCTATGACTTGCTTGTTTAAAGAAAAAAAAAAACTGTGAAACTTAGAGTGTGCTTAGGATTAAATTCAAAACAGCCCTGCAGGTTTAGTGGTGGGGCAGTGTGAGATAGGCAGTAAAATGGGGTTAGCCATGAGGTATTTGGTTATCTGTGTGAGTGGAGACATGGGGTTCATATCGTTGTTCTATTTATACATGAGATTTGCTTTAATGATAAAGAAACTGCAATACTGGTGGTCAGGGGGCAAAAAAAGGAAAACTCTTACGGAAACGTGTGAATTTTCTCAGACAACTGGAGGAAAAGGCTGAGGCAAGAACGGCTGAGTGATGGAAACTTAGCTGCATACTATCTTGGCTCTTTCCCTGCATGGTGTTCTCAGATCCTGGTGCTTGTGTATAACTCCTGGGGCAGCCCTTGGAGGTTGAATCCCTTTGATGTACATGGGTCATTTGCACAGGGGAAACCACAAAGAAGATCCAGCTCCAAAGACACCAAGGCTTTCTCCAAGGTCAGATGAGGTTGGGTGTCCTTGCTGTCCCTTGGCTGTTGTCTGCAGTACTGTCCTTGAGGGCCTGGCTGCCTTATCAAGGTTTTCCATGTCTGCCTTCATCTCACCACAGAGTTCTTGAGAATCTTAAGATAAGCATGTAAGTCCAGAAACACAACATACACAAGAGGAGGGGGGAGGGGGAGGGGAGAAGGGGGGGAGGGAATTGTTTAGACTTTTAGAGTCTCTTCCCCTTGAAAGGTGCACATCTGTCTCATTGAATACCCCCACTACCTTTAAAACCATGTACTCAGACATGAGTGGTGTAATGAGCATAGGCTCATCAGTTAAGATGCAGCTGGAGATCGATCTAGTCAGTCTCACAAAGACAGAGTACCACATCTGTCTCTCATTTGTGGGCCTTCGACTTCATGTATATACTTAAACTCATATAGGTACAGGCATGACAGTATAAGAAACTGTAGGGTAACAAAGGAAATGATCAGGAAGGGGGAAGAAAATGCAGGTAGCAGGTGGTATGGTGGGCCATGCTCAAGTACATTATATGCTTTCGTGAAAGTGGCCTTATGCCACCTGGTGCAATACAAATAAAGGAAACCTCGTGGAATATTCAGTCAAGTGATGAACCTTGGTATCCACAGATGCTTTGTCTTGAGAACACTTCAAGCTGGTCTCTGCTTTTCCTTGGCTCTAGGAAGACAGAACGTTCTAGAAGATAATCTTAAGGCCAGATCTTCCAGAGACAACGCATTCTTTCCTACAGTATGATTGAGTTCCCATACAAATATGTGTTCATTTGAGTTATAATCTTTGTAAATACTGTAAAATTTCTAAGTAATTCCAGGTGAAGCCTTTTAACTGGCAGGCATTGCCTTTCTCAGGGGTAAAATGCGGGATCAGGTGGGGGTCTCTTCCTGCTCTGCAATCTGACAGTGAGTCTTGATCCTCCAGCCCTCTGCAGAGGTGACTGACAGCCCCACACTCCTTTGCCCCTTTGGAGGGTGCCCCTACCTGTCTCCCTCAACCCTCTGTCTATCTGGACTCCTAAGATCTTAGTAAAAGCGAATCTGTTTATTGAAGGTCTACTTCTGTGAGTTGCTGCCGTTTATACTGTAAGGTTCTGCCTCCTGAGCAGCCATGGACGCCCTTAGATGTCTGCAAAGCTGCTGTTAGATGAGAAAACATAGTTCCTTGGAGCCCTTTAATTGAGCACAGCACAGGAAGAAATGAAAGTGCTGCCAAGTGTCACCCTGATGAGTAACTTAGCTGGAGGGTGTAGACAGAAACACTACTTGCCAATGTGGAGCAAACCACAAGTCCAGATTCTCACCGTTCAGATATGATTGGCTTGGGGGTAGGAGGAGGTAGGCATCCAGACACCTAAAAAAGAGGGCTCTGAACTTCGCTCTTGCAGGGTGGGAGTTCCCAGAGGCATAAGACTCAGTCTTTGACATGAGAGAGCCGCGTACATTCACTATAAAAGTGGAGGTCCAGGCTGCCTTTCAGATCAGCTTAGAAGGATGCTCAAGGGGCAGGGTGTGGAGGATCCGCCTTTAACCCCAGCACTCGGGAGGCAGAGGCAGACAGATCTCTATGGGCTCATGACCAGCCTGGTTAACATAGTGAGACCTCGTCTCAAAATACAATTTTTTAATAATTAAATAAAAATACCGCTTAAAATAGGGCGAGTAAAGAAAAGGAGGCCATTCTAGTTGGAGAAAACGAGATTGAAAGACCCGTGTTCTCTCCTATTTCCAGTAGAGACATGAGGCCATGAGCTCAAGTCTGTGAGATGATTGAAAAATCACTTTTATACAAACTCTTCTGAAAAAGAAAATTGATGGATTAAATACAAGTTAAGTCTATTTAAATATAACGTGATTTTTATTTTGAAAATTACATGTTGGGGTGCTGGGAGTGTACCTCAGAGGTAGCATGTCTATATAACATGTACAAGACTAGTTTAAGAAGTCAGAAAATTGCTGGTAGAACATTTCACAGGACAGATTCCTGGGTCCTGTTTGTGTTGACCTGTCCATGGTTTGTATAACATTAGGCTTCTTTCCTTCCGTATTTCCCACTGTCTGCCTGTCTTCAGGAAGGGTTTGGGGAAGCTAGTGGGAAGTATCTGTCAGTCTCCTCCAACTTTTTCCCACATACGGAAGAAGGCTTGTGGTCTGCTTCCAGCCAGTGAGTTTGTGCATTGGCCACAAGTACCTAGCTATAGGCTGATGATATTGACATAGCATGGTGCTGGGCATAAGTTCCCAGTATGTATAGTAGCCCCCACCCTTTAGCTGCAGATCCAGTTATATTACATGGAAAATTCTGGAAATTGACTATTTTAAATAATTCACTTTGAAGTGTCATTGCAACTGCAATCTTTAATTACTGATTACTTTGTTGGTGTCCTGTATGTAATTGATGAAGCAAACACCATCCTAGGCATGCACATATAAGAAAAAATAACCCTGTATGTTGAGTGTGTATTGATTCAGAACCATGGTTCCAGGGATCCACTGCAGGTCTTGGAAAGTGTCCCCTGTGGATGGATGTGCACCATGTTGTCTGGTTTGGAGTCCCTTCTTAGGACTAGATGAGTTCACTAGAAGTGCCTTCCCGGGTAGACTGAGATCAGTAATGCAGCCTCAAGCCTGTGTCCCCATCCCACCTCAAGTACTGTTTCCTTCTACCCAAAGAGTCCCAACAAGGGTTGGAAGCCTTGGCCAGCTCCAGACACCACCTGATTTTCTAAATGAGTTTATTGGGGACAGCTACGCTTTTATTAAATGATTGTCTATGTCT